TCGTTGGAGGTGGTGGTAAGAGACGAAGATTGAAAGTTGGCACGTACGATGCCGAACATTCGCATCTGCAATGCGTCACGTGGTGTGTGCCATTTGGATTGCCTGACATCTTCGACGATAACCCAAACGACGACAGGCTACTACTTTAGCAGATTCCCTACGAATGCGTAACGATCTGAATCCCGGCAAACGGCGATCTGGGGTGGTGTTGACTCTTCCCGAGCTACGAGATTCGATGTCAATGACGGATGGGGAGTTTGAGACGTTCAAAGTGAGTCATTTGAGGATGTTGTAGACTGCCGGAAGTGTAAGATGGTTCCAGTCTCTTTTAAGGAACACAGCGCGCGAGCTCACGCTGGATATATATGAACTGCATGATGGACAGGATGAGGAGAAGTGGGAGGCGTTGGTGACACGCGTGAGTGATTATGCGAAATAACGGCGGAAATGGAGCATCTTATTGACATGTTACCTATCAGATGACTGAAGAGTCGAATGTTAGAGTCCATCGCGGGGCTGTTGAAACCTATTTCGACAAGTGGATTGGCTATAACAGGGTCAATCGCCGGCGCGTGTAATTAAACAAGCTGGTATACGGGTAGGTTATGGGATCCGAGTCAGAAGGTTTGGACGGCAAATTGACCACAACGATTCACAGAAGAATAGTGAGGAAAGGGATTCATCGGTGTGTTCAATTAATTCCAGGGTATTTGAGGCGAACAGCGATATATTGTGACTGATACGATTCACAGAACATTGGCCTGAAAAGGTCTTCATCCATCATTTCGATTGAAACAACGGATTCCGAATCGGAGGCTCCCATGCCCAAGGTGGTTGATGGAGTGCTCTATAATATATTTTAGATGTGAGCTGACACTGGTTTCCAGAAATCTTGTTCCGAAGGGAGTGATAACCGTGTGGCTGATCCTGGCCTAGTTGGTGGAGATGCGCCTGGGCGTGATTCGCGGCGTCTCCATGAACTGCTGGAAAGAGCGTTGGTTGATAAATGGGCGATTTTCCAGTTGGGATAGGCTATGATATTGACCTAGACACCATCGCGCTACTACCGCCGGAGGAAGTCAAGGAGCTCCTCGACCTGACTGATTTGACCGCTTATGAGAGGGCCTCCTTTAAAAACCAGATAAGGAAGCATGTCGTAAGTGTTGTCTTTCCCTCTAGTGGTTCTGGTTTTTGATCATTTTTTCTGTAGAGACGATCCGATTTGAAACAGGGTGCAACGGTGCGAGAAGTGTGCATTGTGCCTTTTTGGAATCGAGTTCATTGGTTTTGCAGGTGGATGAAGTCAAGAACCATCTGGCTGAAGTTTACGGGCGCAAAGAGGACGACAAGCTCTATGCCCAGACAATATCTCCTCTCCTGGCGAGACACTTCAATGAGCTCCACATTGAGCATTTGATACCGACAGCGATAGATCTGGGGATTATATCCGATGCTGATTTCGAGGAAATGAAGAGTTTGAAGAATACCGCGGTTGTGGAGAGGATGTTTGGAGATTGTAGGACAGAGTTGAGCCCGTTTAAAAAAGCCGTAATGCGATGGGCGCTTGTGGGAAGACACGATTGACTATCTTCGATAGCCTGGAGATTGTTGCAACTTGCGGTATGTTGAAGCCAAAAATATTGGTCTTGATGGCAGCTATGTATACTATTGTAATCTGCTAGCACTTGTTGGGAAGTTTACCCTGGACTTTGAATCATTGAATGTATGAAATCTAATATCTATATTGTTGAATGCTATCGGGCGAGTACGGAAAAAAAAATTATCCATTCATGGCTGCAGTTGGTCCGCTGCGAGAGTCGAACTCGCAACTTCCAGACATGTAGACTCAAAGTAGGTATACTGATGACTGGCGCTCCACCATTGAGCTAAGCAGACGATACTAGAAAAAGATAATGAAAGGAAACTCTGGCATTAGCAGAACACGATATACCGGGAAGGAGATGTGGCAGAGGTTCAAAGATACGATCAGTTCAAAGGGGTGCAATACGTGTCAACGAACGCTACAGTCGAGAGTACATACAGGACCGAGCTACCGTAAATTTAAGGATGTTCGGAGCCTGAGGGGTTGCACAGTGCTTGTGAGACACAAGTACATAAGTAGGGGATTTTGCTCAATATATTTATTGATCAGCTCGAAGGGTTATGCGTATGAATCAAAAATCGGAGAAACAGATCGAGAATTGAAAACACTTGAATCCCTGTTCAAGCATTGCTCAAGACGCGATGGGAGAGGGCGTATAATAAAAGACCTTGTCTTTTCACAAGCCTGCTTAGCTCAGTGGTTAGAGCGCTGGGGAAATATCAATCCTAGTCGTCGTGTGTTCCCTAGTGACGCAAGTTCGATTCTCGCAGTGGGCATATGTGAAAGGAGTTCTTTTTTTAATAGGGTCATTATTTGTGAACCGAATGAGTGTTAGACATGAGCGGTGTATTCATACGACATTAGAAGGTATGCAATATCGGCCAAACGTTTGAGGCGAAGAGGTAGGTCACGGTCGATATAACATGGTTCGCGACATGGCCCTAGTGAAGATTGGTTTTAATAGGAATGCATTAAAGTTGGACGAGGCAAGAACATGGCGAGAGGTCGATATGTAACAGGAAGGGATACATGGAATGGTTCTGGCCTAACGCGATGTATGCGATAGGGTCGGGGAAAGGACTTTTGATTTTATGCGAGGTTGAGGTGAGAGACGATGGCTCACTGGGGTGGAATTCGGGTCAAAAGGCGATGTAAGATCTGTAGGCGGATCAGTTAGCAAAGATTAGAGTTTGAACAGGTGTACAAACCTACTGCGATTATCGACAGTTGTCTGTGGGACGTGTTAGCCTAAGGTAACCGAGGGTGTCGACAGTTGACAGAGGAGCGTTCGACTATTGCTAGGTCCCCGTGTATGTGGAGGAGGCGGTATAAAGTGCTCAAGCGCACTGTAAACGGTGTGGGTGATATCGCGAAAACCGTTGAGAGTCGCGAGAGGCTTGAACGAGTTGGCCATCGAGAGAAGGACGACATTGGTTGACGTCTATGGGATGTACTGGGTTTTAGTGTCAGAAACGACAAGCAGCTGAATAGATTGCCCACGCATGTTCTCCAAGCCTGTAGTTGGTTTGCATGAGTGGTTAGAGTAGGATAAGCTTGTTATGCTGTGCGGATTCCTGAGGTTCTTTCGGTGTGACTGGTGCATCGTCACGGAGCCTTCATCGTATCGGACGTGGACTTGATTTGATTTCGACGGGTAGGTCAGCTAGGGTCTTTTTCCATAATCCCCTGCGAACTTGGACAGGATGCGATGGTATCGAGCTAGTGAGTGTCAAATCATTGGTCAGTCAGGTAATGTCACCGAATGCGCGGAAAACTCACCGAGACTCCAATATCGCCTCAAGGTAGTAATCGGACGCTGAAGAGATTCGAGCGCCAAGTGAGTCCAAAGCCTTGTCCGATCTTGGAACACGACCATCCAGGTCCAGAATGCCTGAGATGGTGCTACAATAGGTTGGGCTAGAGTCCCAACCGATTGTGTGCCTCCAAGATCGTTGAAGGTGGTGGTGAGAGACGAAGATTGAAAGTTGGCACAGCCACATGCAGGATGCCGAACATTCGGCATCTGACCAGGAGATGATGTCATGCGCATCATGATGCGCCTGACGTCATGGTTTGAGATCGCATTTTGGCGCTGGCATCGGCAGTACACGGCATTGACTCGTAATGGGTTTGTCAGCATGTTGAACGCCAAAAAACTTTCAAGTTGATTTTCAACTGCCACCAAGTTTTTCTATTCAAACGCTATTTTACCGATGTCTGATAGAGTTATCGATGAAGATGCACGGTCGAACGCGCAAGTTGAACGCGATTTTAACCATCATGTAAGTCCATTGAGGTACTGAGTCTGAGTGAGTCTTTTTACATATACAACTGGGTTTGTAGCCGCTGTCAAAGAAGTTGCACGATTTGCGTCGCAAGTTTCAAACGAATCGCACATTCCGACAAGAAAAAAAGACACGGTTCGTTCTGAATGGCAATGTCAAAAGGGGACTTGGTAATGCTGATCGTCGCATGTTGTGAAGACTTCCCCAAGTTCGGAGAGCTCTTCCAAGGCGGCACTGAGTTGGGGATAGATTAGAATATACGCGTATCGATTAGGAACAGGTATGTACCGGACAGATTCAGGAGGGGCCCCTAGATGATGAATGGCGTTGACTAGGGCGTCAAAGTGGAGGCCGTCATCGCAATGATCGGGTCGAGACATGAGCGTCTTGAGGATTTCAATCTGCACCGGCGCGATATCTGGAAATTGATCTTCCAGAGAGAATGTATCCTGGGAAGGTGGGACAAGGGAGGGCCCTGTATGACAGGCGGGGGAGTCCTGTAGTTGTGGTTTCGGCTGCAGGAGAGATGATGGCACATGAAGGATCGCGAATGAGGCACGTACAGGTCCAAGGAGTCTGTGAGTTTGAATGTTGACGGCGACCTCCATCAGGTGGAAGTAAATCTCATGGGGATCTTCACTCAAACGAATGCCTTCGATGTTGACGTATCTCAGGTCGTTGAAATCTTTAATATAACCGACCGCCCGGACATAGGAGTCCGCTCTAGACGAGAGTGTTGGAGCGAGTTTGGATCGAGGGAGGTGAGCACGTACTGGATTGGAGTGGTAAGATGTTGACGAATATCCGCGGATTGCCATTGTCTAAATTCAATTTGACCGGTGCCGTCGTCGAGAGTGTAGGCATCGTGGGTCGCGTGTTGGGTCACCTGCAAAACGTGGGCGACTACAGTGATCTGGAGTGGGTTAATATGCGATAGCATGGAACCTGGGACGCGGGGTTCGATACCTGGTGAAATTTATATCCCTCGAATGACCATGGGTCATCATTCGCAGTTCGAGCCGCTTTCCTGATCATGGCTATGGTCAAAGGCCGTATCGACACCTTTAATTCATCGTCTCTGTTCTGTATAGAAAACCCCTTGAGTGACAAACCGGCTTGTTGTTGAGTAGAAAAAACGAGCGGACCTGTTCCTGTGTGGGGCGAGTGCCATGCAACGTTTGTGCGGGGACGCCTTGAGACGGATCTTTTTCAGTTAATCAGTGCTACAGTATCGACACGGAAGTGGTCGAGACCTTGACTCATGCTGAGACGTTATCAGGTGGATGAGGGATGATTCCTGACAGGCGGATAGTGAGGGTTGGGATATGGGAGGGGTCGTTCAACCCTAGACTAATTGTTTCATGACCCCCACGAATGCCAGTTGACCGGAAGCGAAGAGAATTCTCTGATTGACTGTTGCGTTGGAATGCGGATGACAGTTGTGTCGCTGATCGTGGTTTTTGGCACGAGGAAGATTTATACTATTCAAATGACTACTACAAGGATTTTAGGCGGCTGTCTGATTCAAGGTGGGACAGAGGTGGCTGCCGTTGCTCGAGAAGGAGAGAATAAGGGTGAGGGGTTTTGATTATCAGTGGCACTGAATGTGATGAAGGATGTGAGCAGCTTGTGCGAGGTCAAGGCGGTCACGTTGGGATCGTTGTATTCGTTGGAGCTTGGGATGGGATTCGAATAGGGGTGACGGACAGTGGAGGGATAAGAAAGAAGATCAGGCCGTGTGGTTACAAGTCGCATGAAGAAGATGACGACCACCCAGGTGCACAGTTCTGGGGATGAGTCTACAATTGGTTGGGGTAGATTCGCAGCCCAGATTGTTGGTCTTGAATGTGTTTTGGTATTTTGGCACAAAACCGGGTCATTTTTGTAGACCCTAAGTCGCCCAAAGGCTGACGCTGCGGTGAGGGCTCGCTAGTTTGAGGAAGATCGCTGCCATTGCGATTAATGGTCCGAGAGACTGAGTGTGAATCAAGCACACATGTGCAAAGGGCATGTATTCCGTACAGGTATCTGAAAACTGAACTATCGGGGCAGCAGGGAGTGAAATGATATAGAGAACGGTCCATGTGAGGTCTGCTTGACTCGTATTTCATATTATTGATATATGATTCTTGTAGTGAAGGTCTGGAAATTATCGCTGATGGAATTTTTATGCGGTTATTGTGTATGAACAGCGTGTGTACTCGGTATTGATACCAAATTACAAGGATTGAGAAGCGTGGATAGGTAACGAACAAGGAGTTTGGACTACACGGAGATGGATGGTTAACGGCGTGGGCCTGATAATCAACGAGAATTCATAGCGTTATTTGGGTTGAATAACGTCTACCAGAACGGAACTGAGGGATCCCAACCGAAAGTATTAAACGGAGAGGCGTAGGCTCACAGCCGGTACGCATGGGACGATCGTCTTTGAAGTTGTTTAATGCTGGCATCTGGGAAGTAGTCTGTAGATGTGTGTGCGCGGTGCGATGGTGAGATGAAGAGTGGCATATGCAGTCTTTGCCCATGGCCTCCTCCGTTTCCAAGTCCAGAATGACCGAGAGGGTTCTACAGTGAGGCGGTCTAGATTTCCAATCCGTTTCGTGCATCCGGAATCGTGGGCGGTCGTGGTATGAGAGGAAGAGGATACGAGGTCTGTTTGCGGCGCTCAACCTGAGCTGGGATTCGGACATGGCAGTTGGACGACCATCGAATCTACTGCGGTGTCAGAGTAAGAAATGGCGACCGAGTTGCAGATGACGCACAGGAATGGTCACAAGTCAGTATTTCATCGTCACGGAGCCTTCATCGTATCGGACGTGGACTTGATTTGATTTCGACGGGTAGGGCAGCTAGGGTCTTTTTCCATAATCCCCTGCGAACTTGGACAGGATGCGATGGTATCGAGCTAGTGAGTGTCAAATCATTGGTCAGTCAGGTAATGTCACCGAATGCGCGGAAAACTCACCGAGACTCCAATATCGCCTCAAGGTAGTAATCGGACGCTGAAGAGATTCGAGCGCCAAGTGAGTCCAAAGCCTTGTCCGATCTTGGAACACGACCATCCAGGTCCAGAATGCCTGAGATGGTGCTACAATAGGTTGGGCTAGAGTCCCAACCGATTGTGTGCCTCCAAGATCGTTGAAGGTGGTGGTGAGAGACGAAGATTGAAAGTTGGCACAGCCACATGCAGGATGCCGAACATTCGGCATCTGACCAGGAGATGATGTCATGCGCATCATGATGCGCCTGACGTCATGGTTTGAGATCGCATTTTGGCGCTGGCATCGGCAGTACACGGCATTGACTCGTAATGGGTTTGTCAGCATGTTGAACGCCGAAAAACTTTCAAGTTGGTTTTCAACTGCCACCAAGTTTTTCTATTCAAACGCTATTTTACCGATGTCTGATAGAGTTATCGATGAAGATGCACGGTCGAACGCGCAAGTTGAACGCGATTTTAACCATCATGTAAGTCCATTGAGGTACTG